GAGAAAGCTAGCTGAGCAGCAGCATTCATTCCTCTGTTTCTTGACTGTGGTTACAATGTGACCAGCCAGCCAGGCATGGTGGCACACACCTTTAGTCCCAGCACTCCAGAGGCAGAGGCAGGCAGATCTCTGTGAGTTCAAAGCCAGCCTGGTCTACATAGTGAGTTCCAGGCCAGCTGGGGCTACAGGGAGACCCTGTCTCAAAGACAAAAAAAGCTTCTGTCCAGCTGTTTTATCACATCAGGAAAGGTAATAAAGACAGTTCCCTTATCTATCCAATGAGGATAATATTGATATCTACGTCATTGATGGGGTGAAATTAATAAGTGAACACCCACTCTTGTGGTGGTTGGGCCTCCTGTGCATGCTAGGTAAGCACTCTACCATTAAGCTACATCCCCAGCCCAACATCTACTGCTATGAGTCCTTACACCAGGGTGACACAAGTCAGCACATAAAAGTGACAAGAGCACTTTGTTCTTCAGCTGACTTTCCACATTCAGAATTCTGACTTACTGGAGACTAGATAAATATCAGCTGCATTCTCTGAATTCCTACAAAGATCCTCTTTGATGACATTATTCAGGTAGCCGGCCACCCACTCTCACTCACACACTTGGCTACACACCAGTAAAACCAAGTCTCCCTCCCTCCAGTGTCTGCCTGCCAGCAGCTCTGCCCATTATCTCTCTCTCTCTCTCCTCTCTCTCTCTGATTCCAAGACCTCTTTTTCTAATCTGCCTTAAAGTGAGCCATAAAGAATTTATTAACAGGCTGGGTGTAGTGGCACATGCCCATAATCCTAGCACTCAGGAGGTAGTGGTTGGGGAGGGCAGGAGGATCAGGAGCTCAAAGCCTGACTTGGCTACATAGTGAGTTTGAGGTCAGCCTGGGCTGTGTCAGACTGTTTCAAAGGAAATTTTTTATTAACAGTGAAGAAAAATTGCAGTTAAGTATCAGATACCACAGTGGAAATGTGATTTAAAGTATGTGCGCGTGTGTGTAAGCATGCAGGCCACCAGAGGTCAGGAAACAACTTGCAGGAGCTGGTTCTCTCCTCCCATTATGTGAGTCCTGGGACTGGAACTCAACCTGCTAGGCTTGGTGGCAACACCTTTACCTGCTGAGCCATCTTGCCAGCCTCTCGTTTCTTCTCTGTAAAGATACACACCTGGGCTGCAGATGTAGCTCAGGGGCAGACACTTAGTCTGCACAAGGTCTTGGGTTTAATCCCCAGCAAACAAATAGGACTACTAAAATGTGATAAAACTCTGCTATTTTATTCTCTGTATTTTCTGTTTGAATCACTTAAAATCATATAAATACAGTATTTCCTGAAGTAGAGAAGACAGAACATGAATATGATTAGTGACTATGCAGAAAATGCAAGGTTCATGGACGTTTAAAAAATGACTGAAAAATGAAGAAACACACGCACATGGACTATCTCAAAAGGATGTTTGGAATCAACGACAAATATGAGGGTTGACATAGTGTGCTAGATAGCTTTAGGTGTTAACTTGACATACCTGGGTAGAGGGAGCCTCAACTGGGTAATTGCCTCCATTGGACTGGCCTGTGGTCATGTCTGTGGGGTATTTTCTTGATTTTTGAATGATGTAGGAGGGCCCAGCCCACTGTGGGTGGTGCCACCCCCAGGCAAATGGTTCTGTATTGTATAAGAAAGCAGTCTGAGTATGGGCCAGGGGAGCAAGCCAGTAAGCAGCATTCCTCCATGGCCTGTGCTTCAGCTCCTGCCTTCAGGTTCCTACCTTGAAGGTTCCTACCTTGGGCTCCCTCAGTGATGAACTGTGACCCAGAAGATGTAAGCCAGATAAACCCTGTCCTCCCCAAGTTGGTATTTCTCAGAGTATTTTGTCATAGCAATGGAGAAACTAGAACACAGAGCTACAGCCAAAGAGCCAACAAGTTTAACACCTCACTGAACTTGGTTACTATGTATTTATATGCTGTAGCTACAGGCTATACTGTATGTTTATAGCAGTATGGGAAAGAGTGCTAATTTTCAACCTTTCAGAGTTTATTATATAATTTTAGGGGCTGGAGAGATAGCTCAGCCGTTAAGAACACTGTTCTTGCAGAAGACCCGGGTTCGAATCCCAGCACTCACATGGCAGCTAACAACTGCCCGCAACTCCAGTTCCAGGGGATCTGACAGCCTCTCTGTCCTCCATCGGTATTACACAACGGGTGCACTTACTTACATGCAGGCATAACACTCATACACATAAAATAAAAATAAGAAGATATATTTTTAATTACATGATTTTAATAAACAAGGCTGAACTTTTGGTTTCTTAGAAGACAATGAGACACACACTTGGCATGCCAGATTAGCAGACCTTAGTCTCACAATAAGATTAATCTCACAAGACACTGACAAAAATTACATAAACCTAGACTTCATATATGCTAGGAATATTGTAAGGCATGTTGTCTCCACATGAAAAATACAGTGTCTATCCTTTACTTTGTCCTTTTCCAGCTGTTGACTTTCTTCACACCCCTATGGGTCCAGCTTCGGATGATGGCGCATCACTAGTGCTGTGGTGGCACCTGTATTCACAAGTCCTGATGTGCTATCCCTATGAGCCACTAAGGTGCATCTCAAGACACCAGCTTATCAAAGTCCTGGGAGGAAAGGTGAGTATCTTGCACTCTGCCTCCTTAGACCTACAGGGCTGGGTAAGGGCTGTTCCTAGGGTGACAGGAGCCAGGCCAGTCTGGGTACTTCTCTGCCCCCTGGTGGTGCACAGAGAAGCCTAGCAGGCCCAGGGATAACACAGGAGAGGGATTCTGTGCACTGGATATACTGGGCCCTGGCTGTGTGCCACTGTCTCTGACCTCTTGGCCTCTGGGCAGTTTGAGGTCTGATTCTGAGCTTTAGATAAATACCCTTGGCATCACTGGACCAGAACAATGGAGGCTAGGGAACAGCACACCCCACTACTGAAGACTTGATCAGGCCACAGACTTTCAATGTTAAAGAAAATGTTTAGTATAAATAAACTATATGTGCACACATATAGAAATGTGTATATTACAATAAAAATGTTTACAATAGGAATAAGAAATCACAGAAAGTTGCTGCTGTAGTATGTGTTCATTTCTTCCCTCATTGACTTGCAATTTAACAGTAGTTCCTCTTTTCCTTAACATTAGTCCAAACAGTAGGAACATCAAAGATTTATCAGGGGTAAAATTTCTGTTACTGGAGTATTAGGTCTCTCAATAGGTTAAACAAGTAATAGTGAGAAGCAAAACCAGATTTATTCAATGCAGCCACATTGAGAAATGAAACAAAAAGGTTCAGTTGTATCTTCCACCTAGTCCATCTTCAGGGTCCTGATCTGGTTTCGGTTTAAATAGAAGTGTGCATAGCTAAGCAATCAAGGAGTGGTCCTGCCCATCATCACCATCCGGCCTCCACTGTCTGCTGTAACGGGTCTGAGAAACGGTCCGAACTATGTTATGTGAAATCTTTTTTCTAATAGGTGAGGCCCCCTCTGGCTGGCACCAGCCTTTTCCTTCTCCCAGCATGAGATTCTTGGAGGAGTTTCCGTTTCTCAAGAGTCTGGGAGCCAAGGGTAGGGGCACAAGTGTGTATTTTCACTCCCACCTGGATGGTTGCATTTTGGTGGGGTCCTGGTCTGTAACCACCCACCAGGTTTCAGGATAAATAAGGGAGTGTCTTTGGTGGGTACAGTGTTAAAGCTTTAACCTTGTGGGTCTCCAGGCTAGGCTGTGACAATACCAAGAGAATTTGCTTACAGGTGATCACTCCATACCCACAGAAGTGACAAGAGACAGGGATCTGGGGACCAACTAGACCCTCAAAAGAACATAACTGAGGGACTGATGAGTGACATTTAAGCACCAAGTTTGGCTTAGGTTCCTTCTCAGCCCTGCTTTCCCCATGCTTCAGTATGTAGCACACTAACAGATGAGGAACACCTGGAACCTCTCCATCACCTCAGCAGCCCAGGACCAGGCAAAGGAATCTGAAACCACCAGGGGGCAGTCTGAGCCCACATCAAGACATTTGCTCTTACAGACCACCAAGTCACACATGCCTAGACTAGACTAGACTTCTAAAAGCACATGCCTAGTCCAGGGCTTTGCCCTCCCAGTCAGCTGTGCTATGCACTCCAGGATGCTTTGGGTTGAAAATGGGGTGGAAGGCAGGAGGAAGGGGAAGTTGTCTGCATTATTTTGAAGCTGCCCAGAAGTCCCTCAAATTCAACACCTTGCTGGGAGTGGTGGTGCACACAGGTAATACTGAACACTTGGGAGGTAGAGACATAAGGATCAGACATTTCAAGGCCAGCCTCAGTAATATACCAAATTCAAGGCCAGCCTGGGTTATAAGACCCTATATCAAAAACAACTCCCAGCACTCAGGAGGCAGAGGAAGGTGGATCTCTGAGTTCAAGGTCAGCCTGGTCTACGCACAGGAAGTTCCAGGCCAGCTGGGGCTACACAGAGACCCGGTCTCAAAAATACTACAAAAACCCCCAAAAAACAAAACCCACAACCCACTTTATCAGCACCTGGACCACCATATGGGTTCAATAGTACTTAAATGGTAGTCTTAGGGAACTCAAGTATCAAAAGATCATGAGAAAGGAACAGTGGGTCTAGGGGAGGGAGGTGCGACATGCATGTGGAGAAGCTACTCCATGATCCCCTGCCACTGCCTAGAACTCCTTTAGCTCCTACGTCATCGTCCTCCACATGCGGTAGATTTTGAGGTGAAGCTAAGTGAAGTGACCTTTCTGAGGATGGATATGGGGGAGAACACAGCTAAGCACAGACCCTTAATTTATGCAATCCTCTGGGCCCAAGTCCTGAGTCTAACCTGGCTGGGTCTATTTGGCGCCATCACTTGAGAGCAGGAGGCCAGCCTGGCTGCTCCTTGACCCTTGGCCCTAAGATCATTCATACTTTTTCCTTCTCTTTACACAGGTAACTAACCCAGGTTCATTAGAGAAAAATGCCACATTGCTCTTTATTGAACACCAGCGCCAGCACCAGCCTCTTTCTTTCCAGCCACAGGGGCATGTGAGCAAGGGGCTCTGTCCTCTGGCCGGGACACAGCGGAAGCCTGGCCCATTACTGCTTTCATAGGGCCAGCACCCTCCTGGGTGCTTGGGGCTACTGGCTCAGGTATGCTCGAACTCCTGTTCACAGTAGCCTACACTGATGGGCTGTGCCTGGATTCCTCGCCTGTAAGAGGACACAGAGAAACAGCAAGTTCAGAGTTTTTCCGCTTTGGAACATAGCAACACCTTATTTACCACAGCAAGAGCCCCTTTCCCATTTCAGTGAATCTCAAAATATTACTGTACACCCAAATAATTGTTACTTTGGAAAAGACACCAAGGCTTAAGAGGTGTTTGATGTCTACTCGGCCACCTACTCCTGCTTCTAATATGCCGTAAATTCAGCAGTGGACAGTGACTGAGATGGTATCCAGTCCATGGGCTGGGGATTAAACCTTGTCCTTATGTCTCAGACTCACCAGTCCTTTAAGACCTGATCAGTTTTTTCACAGACCTCAAATCACACCTCCTTCATTATCCAAATAAGAAATATGCTTAGAGGAGCTGGAGAGATGGCTCAGCAGTTAAGAGCAATGGCTGCTCTTGCAAAGGACCTGTGTTCCATTCCCAGAATCCATATGGTGGCTAACAACTGTCTGTAACTCTAGTTCCAGGGGATCTGACTCCCTCTTCTGGCCTCCATGGGCTTTGTATGACACAAGTGCACTTTACATACATGCAAGCAAAACATTTATACACATAAAATAAAATAAAAAAATAAATAAAAACATACTTTGAGATGACAAGACACCAGTTCAAAGTCACCTACTGCCTTGTAGCCCACAATGCATGGGCCTCTACCATGAAGTCTACTTGGTACTAGGCTAGGTCTTCAGATTATCAACACCTAGTCAATGATTGAAACCAGGGAAATCACTTCCTCACATAAACCTGTTGTCAAGGAGGCATGCACAGCAGGAGAGTCCATCAAACCTGAGTGACTCTGGGCAGCATATGTGTCATTGTCTCAGCTGTCTACTGCTAACACGGGGGTGAAAATTCTGACCTTATGAGCTATGATGAGAATTCAATGGGACAGAGCCTGTAAAGGGCTAAGTACAGCGCCTGCTGCAATATGCTTCATTCACCTTTCTAAGGCCCCATAGCCTGCTTACCTTAGCAGCTCACAGCGGAAATGTGACAAACGTTTATAGGCAAACTCCATGTCAGTTGTCTGGTTGCTGCTCCACAGTCTCTCAGCAATAGCACCTGCTCTGGGCCTACAGAAAAAGGAGTATACAGAAGACTGGGTTCTCTTCACCATGCCTCCCAGAATAGATCAGGGACAAGAGATGTGAATGACACCTGTTCAGAACCAACAGCCTGGCTGGCTGACTCTTTAGGCAGTTCTAGGGCTCAGCTCCATTCTCATTAAAACCATCCTGGTTAGAATGTGGACAGTTGACTCCTGAGTCCCAACCTCCATTTCTTCCCAAGACAAAGGAATAAAGGTAAGCCTTAAAGGCATCATTAGCTGAAAGGTTAACTCAGTATACCCAACCACAGTTGGTGAGGCTACTGAGGAAATGTCATTACAGAAACCTCAAGGCTGTTAGTACTGGATCCCATGCCAAGTCCACTATCTCCTTTATGCCTCACTATCTTATCTGTGAAATGGAGACAACAGTCACTATCTTGCACACCAAATGGGCTGCTAGAGGGACACACAGAAGTTGTGTGGGCAGTGAAGACTGCAAAAAGAAGCATCACACAATGCCCCTTCTCTCTCAGGCCCGAAGGGAAGGTACCAGGTAGCTGGATGGGATTGAGATGCCACGCCCGCATACCCAACCTCTCCATCCTCTACCCTCACCCTTCCGACCCCACCCAAAAATCCTTACCAGAGCCTGGAGACCAGGTTTGTGCTGTCCACATACTCTCCCCACATACAGGCCTCTCCTCCAATGACCAGATTCCTCATTTCAGGAGTACCTGAGAGGAAACAACAGGCTATGGAGGGGGTTCCACTCCAACTACCATCCCAGTGTAGCCATCTCCTCAGAAAGGCCACTTCATTCTGGAAACTGCAATGTCTTGCCCCACCCCTCCTAATTCCAACCCTGCATCTCAGTCCAGATTCTCTGGCCGGCCAAGACAGTGTCCTGCTCTTGCCATGAAATCCGAGGGGCTCCACTTTGTACATGTCCTTCCAGTCAGGGCCATATGCTATACGATTCAGGTACCAGGGGGCAGAGAGCAGGGCCCGGAAGCCGGCCTTGGTGATCTGTTCCATTTCCTTCATGTAGTCTACAGGTATCTCTTCCCGCCATACCTGTATGATTGTGTCTGGCCGAATCTATCATGAAAGGTCAAAAGGCAGTCATGATACAGAGCTGAGGAGATTCCTGGGAGTTTACTCCCTTTTCCCAGCAGCAAAGGATGTCTCTGAGATGCCAATCCTTGACCTCACACTTCTGACAGAGGAAAGAAGTCTAAGACTCCTGACACTCCCCTCCCCAGTCCCTCTTCAGTTTCCTCATCCACATGGACATTGTAATATTGGTTGGGGGCTGAGCGGAGCAGACAGCAGGGGCCCAAGAATCACCACATCCAAGAGCCTCTAGATGTTGCTGGGGTGAGACAGGGGCCTGGGATCTTGCTGATCAAAAGGAGGAAGAAAGTAGCCTTGTTCCAGAGAACATAAATTCCAAGCCTGTGAGTCAGGAGGAAAACCTGGCATATAAATTCTCAGGAATTCCAAGTAGCCATAATTAGTTGCAGTGAGAGAAGATAGAAGTTCTGACTCCAAACTGGGGACTTACTCCTCTGTAGCTCTTCTACAGAGTTAAAAGAGGTGGGCTCTAATTTCTCTATTAAAGCCTAGTCCACCAGGGGTGGAAGAGGGCCTAGGAGACAGAAGAGTCACTGGGGGTACCTCTTCTCTGCCCCTGGCTCACCTTTACTTTATTATCAAACACCTCCTGCCACACCACATAGCCCTTGTCATAATCAGAGACGATGTCCAGCAGTCTGGAAAGGAGAGGAGCATCAACAAAGTGTCTGCTCAGCCCAGACGCTCGCTGTGTGCATCAGAGCTCTAGGGGCTGAGCCTAGTAAGGACCCACCCAATTGGGCAGTATGTTCTCTGGCTCTGCTGTCTGACACTCTAAGCCTCAAAGATTAGGACAAAAGGACACTTTGGGGGGCCATGACTTTGGAATGGAAAGCAAGAGACCACCACCCCCACAGGAGGTGACCCTACAAATGTGCCCCACCCGCCTTCCTTCCTCACGTCTGGATGTAGAAGGACTCTAGCTGCTTGAAGTCAGTAAAGCCTTTTTTCTTCATGAAGGCCTGGATATTGGGGTTGGACTTCCTGAGTAGCAAGAAAAAATGCAGATGAATTCATTATCTTGAAATCACTGTAGCTTCTAGTCATCTGACCTCCTACAACTGCACCTTCTACTAAACCGAGGAGCTAAGAACCTCTCAACATGAAGGTGTGGCTATGCAGAGCTGCTCAAGGGATCACACACATAGACTGAGGAAAAAAAAGCAGTCCAAATTCCCAGGGATAATGCACTTTACAGTCTCTCTGAACCACACCAGAGGTGCCAAGGCTCAGCAGAAGCTGCAGCACGCTGGGCACTGGCGTCCCTCTCTGCTGTTCCAAGCTTGGCACCAACACCAGAGATTGGTCACTTGCTGCAGATCCCTCACCCCACAGTGGCTATGTTTTGTTGCTAAGTTCTGCTCCTGGAGTATTTTCCCCTTGTCATGTTCCCAAAAGACAAACTATTTCCTCACATCTAACAGTGAAGCTTATTTCTCAAAGGAGCCTCTTGACCTCTTTTGAGCTCAGTAGATCTGAGGCACTGAACTTTATGATTCAATTAATTGTCTTGTCATCTATTAATCTTCAATTTTACACTAGACTTTTTTTTTCAAAATTTTAAAAATTAGTGTGTGCAGATGCCCACAGAGGCATCAAATCCCTTGGAGTTGGAGTTACAAGCATATGTGAGCCACCAATGGATGCTGGGCTCTAACTCCACTGATAGAGCAGTAAGTGCTCTTAGCCACTGAGCTGTCTCTTCTGCTCTTTACTAGACTCTTGACTGGGAATTATTTTTCCCTATTCTGGATTTTTTTTTTTTTTTTTTAAAATATGTGTGAGTTGGCCAGGAATGGTGGTGCATGCCTTTAATCCCAGCACTCGGGAGGTGGAGGCAGGTGGATCTCTGTGAGTCAAGGCCAGCCTGGTCTACATAGTGAGTTCCAGGACACAGGACAGCTGGGGCTACAGGGAGACCCTGCCTCAAGAAAAAAACAAAAAACAAAAAAACAGATTCTTAGGTAAGTGCACCTCTGTCGTGCAATGCTTGTGAAGGTCAGAAGATGGTGTCGGATCCCCTGGAACTGGAGTTAAGGACGGTCATTAGCTGCCATGTGGGTGCTGGGAATCAAACCCAGTCCTCTGCAAGAGCAGCCAGTGCTCTTAACCGCTGAGGCATCTCTCCAGCCCCCCTCTACTCTGGATTTTTATAATTCTGAGCTCAGAGTGAGATATTTATTTCCATAAATATCTCAGGGATATGAAAGGAGGAAGAGGGCTCACACTGACAGGCGGTTATACAGGGCTTCTCTAGGCTGAGACACACACTATCTCAGAGGTTGGCCCCTGAGCAGCAGCAGCAGCCCAGGCAGCTCACAGGGCTCAGTAAGCAAGCCATTCATAAGGTTGGTGTAGATGGCTCAAAGGACTCATACCAGCAGGTGAAGTCAACTTCATCTCCTCCCAGGTGAAGATAAAAATCCGGGAAGACAGAGCTGATCTCCAGGAAGAATGTGCTCATGAAGTCATAGGTACTGTTGAGACTGGGATTCACTGGTCCAAAGGTGCCAGAAGGAAGGGACCCAGAGTAGCAAGGAGTCAATAACCCAGGGATACCTAAGTCAAAAGAGAACCCGCATGAGCGTCACAGATGCAAAGACCCCCTTGTATGCTCTTACATATAAGGGCCTTAAGTATACAAATAGACGAAAGTGTTCATTAACTCCGCACACATGTAGTACCTGGTTTTCACAGGCCTTGGTAACTACCTGTTTAGTCATAACCAAAGAAATACAGTTATATCCACCATCAGAAACAGAGGCTGGGTTATAGCCACACAACTATCAACATGTATACTCTTGCTTCCAGTGTAAGTCACCATTGCTATAATGGGTGCTGTCCTCAAACATCTGTTCAGCAGCAAAGCAAGGGGATGGTCTGACTGAGCCTGGCACTACACTCTTTCCACTCTATCTCCTGCTATCCAGAAGTTCCTCATTTGCTGAGGGGTATCTCTTAACCCCAGAGCCTTCCTGCCTGAGGCTGAGGCCTTCAGTCTTCCTGTGGGTTTCAATCCAGGATCTCATCCTGGGGGGCATGAGTGAGAAGCAAGAGCTACTATAACTATGACCTCTGGAGGCCATACTAAGCTTCTTTTCTTTAGATTCTACCCTTGGGGTCAGATTCTTCAGTATCTACTTTAAGTCACAGAAACTCACACAGGCATCTGGGAAGAATCTATCCTTCTTTTGGGGGCAGGGGCCAGGGTCTCACTATGTACCTCAGAACTTGAGATTCTCCTGCCTTTGAAGCTTCCCAAGTGCTGGGTTTATAGGTATATATCAACATGCCTGGCCTCTGCCCATAATTTAATAGCAAAAGTGTCCACCTCTGCCTAAACTAAGTTCTCCTATCTAAATTCCTAGGTGATGATGGAAGACATTTTTTCAAGGGCCAAAGCTGGGACATGCCACATGCGAGAGCCGATGCCCTCGAGCCCGTTTTTTGTTTCTGGGTTTTTGTTTGTTTGCTTGTTGAGACAGGGTCTCCCTGTAGCCCCAGCTAGGCTCAAAATGGCTATGTAGACCAGGCTGACCCTGATCTCACAGAGATCTGCCTGCCTCTGCCTCCCCAGTATTGGGATTTAAAGCGTGCACCAGCAACGTCCAACTTTTGTTTCTGTTTTTGAGACAGGATCTCACTATGTTGCCCTGGCTGGCCTGGAACTCACTGTGTAGACCAGGTTGACCTGGAACTCAGAGAGATCTGCCTATCTCTGTCTCCCAAGTGAGTGCTGGGATTAAAGGCAGGTGCCATCACTTCCAGCTGCAGCCCCTCTCTGAGAACCATCAGCAGACCCCTCCAATTACAGCATTATTCTTACCTGGCCCCCAGGACAAAGTGTGGCCAGGAGTGTCAAATTCTGCCACCACGCGGATACCCCGCAGCCGCGCATATTCAATGACTTCCCTCACATCCTGTGATGTGTAGATATGGGTGACAGGGTTGTAGGACCCCTAAAAGGCAGAAGACACCCTTCAGACTCTCGTTTCCGGTGGGCTGAGAAGACATTCAGAATGTCCTCAAAACTCCCTGCATTTTAGAACACCTGTCCATAGCCCTTGGGTATTTGGAAATGTCTTCTAGGGTCTTTATCATAAATTCCCACAAGTTACCACATCTATTATATTTTGTTTAGTGTGCGGTGTGTGTTCGTAAACATTCATTTGTGTTTAGCAACATATTCTATTCCAAAGGCCAAAAATGTCAAAAATATTTGGAAGCTTTTATCTAATCCCTGAAAGATTTTAGGGTTACCTCTTCAGAGGGGGGAAGGTTAGAGTAGCAAAAAGGCCCATAAAAAAGAGAGAAAGGAAGGAGGGGAGGAGAGGGGAGGGGAGGGGAAGGAAGGGAAGAAAGAGTACATGAAGTTGTCAGAAAAAGTGGAGAGTTGGGAGGAGTTGGAAGGGAGGGGGTTGGCATGGATTTGATCAAAACACCTTATATGCATGTATGAAATTCTCAATAAATTAAAACAAACAAAAAAAAACCCCACATTCATTTGTGTGTACAAGAAAATGGAAGCCAGAGGTCAACATGGGCTGTGTTCCTCTAACACTCTAATTTCTTGAGATGGGTCTTTCACTGAACCTCGAATTCATAAATTGGCTAGGCTGGCTGGTCACTGAGTTCCAGGGATCCACCTGTCTTCACTCTAGTCCCCTATACCCCATTCCTATCACTCACTCCTACTCCAACCCAGCACTGGGGTTACCGATGCCCATATCTATGCATAGCTTTTATGTGAGCGCTGGGGATCTGAACTCAGGTCTTCATGCTGGCACAGAGATATTAACTGACTGAGCCATCTCCCAAACTCACCTCTACTGTTTTATCTGAGCATTGTAAAGCTGAAGAGATAAATCAAGGAGGAATTAGGCCCATTTAACAAAATGTATATAAGTAGCAAAAAATGAGACCAGGAGAGAACATCTCCTGAGGGTTACATAACAAATTAGTGGCCGAGACTGACTTTAATCCATGGGTCCTGAGAGAGACAAAGACTTTCCCTTTCCCAGTGTATTTGGTTAGGATGAGAGCTACCGCTCTTGCCAGTAGCCCATATACTTCAGCTGGGTAAAACTGCATCATACCTTTCTGGTGAGCTCTGGAAAAGTGAAGCTCTCATATGGGAAGGAAGGGTCATCGACCATATGCCAGTGGAACACGTTGAATTTATTGTATGACATGACATCCTGTTGGTCAGAGTACATACTGTGAGCCTAGCACAGCCTCAAACTGGGCAGGCTGCTGCACGAGGAAAGACTGCATTTCTTCTTTCCCAGGACACATTCAGAGCCAGCTGACAGGAGCGAGGTCCCCTCTCTTTGAGAGGGATTCTAGCCACACTGAGAGGAAAGCTACAACATCTACAGAACCCTGTTGTCTCCAAAAGTCCCCCAACAGTCTTGATACCCCTTTCTACCATTTGTGTTGTCGAGTTACGTGACTGGTGTTTATTCAGCCTTCGAGGACTGCTAGGAACTTAGCTGCCCTGTAACTCAAATTCCAGAAGCCAAGGCTGATACATGTGCCAACTCCCCTGGTTTTACCAAAAGGGTATAGAAAAAGGCAGACACAAGAGCTGGATCAGAATGGTGTGTCCAACTCAAGAGTGTTAGGAATGTCCCCAGCAATGGCTTTGAGAACAACTTTCCTATACCTCTGACCTAACTTAACTGGAGTTAGCTCTGTCTGGTCAAAGAAACCAAACCCCCAAACACTTTCTGCATTTCTGGAAACAATCATAGTAACCAAATCACTCACATTTTTGTATCTTGGAGTATGTTGTCTTCTATACTTTTCCCAGGGGTTAACAGTTACATATATTCCCTCTTTTCTTTAGGAATATAAAATCCATCCCCTGCCCCAGAACCTATGCAAGAAGGCAGCCTGAAGGGGTACCAGTGTGCCCAGGATGGTAGACAGCGGCAGGTAGTGGCGAGACGTATCCAGCAGCAAGCCCCGGTGAGGGAAGCGGGGGAAGTCTTTAATCTTCGTCTTGTTGATAAAGAACTGTGTGGACCAAACATTAAATTTGTCAGAATTCAAAGGGAGGTTAAGATGGGGACAGAGGAATGTGGGAAACTCTCCCAGGAGTCAAGGTGTGAAATGTTCTCTAAGTAACCATTCTTAGAACTTCCCTCCTGCCAGTCTCCACACACATCAAAAACCATGAGCAACCATCTGTCTAGAGTCCCTGTCCCATGTCAGCCAAATACAATCATTCCATATACTGCTCAGTCTAAAAACTATGGGTTTTCCTGAAGTTCACATGGTTAAGTTCTTTACCACAATGTGGCATCAAGATAACTTCTAAATGACTCAGGGGAACCACATTCCAGTGACTCCAAACAGACCAACTCTACCAACCCCTCTCTTCCTATACTCCTGAGGGGGCAATCTGAAGCCACCAGGACTCGAAAGCAAAACAAAAATTCCTCAGGATTCTCAACAACTTCTAGGACGCTGGAGGAAACCCCAAGGTTTAATAAGGAGCCTTCTTTGAGGGCCCATACTTACTGTGCCCTCAGCTGATTTCCAAACAAGCTGGCTGAAAGTTTCCAGACCTGTGGAGAAGAGGACAGGCAGAGTGAAAACCCAGGGAGGAGAAAGAGATGCATCCACCTGGAAAGTGATCAGTGAAGCAGGACATAATGTGAGGCTATATAGTGCAAAGGATCTCAGTGTACCCCCCTCCCCGCAACAAACTGACCTTTAAAACCCACATCTTAGCCTAGTTTCCTGAGCCTCAGAATCACAAATGCAAAGTGAGTTCTTATAAGGGCAGATGCAGACATATGAAAGCCTGGACAAAGCCCATTAGGGGCTTAGAAAGCGGGACCCCAGTGCGCTTCCCTTTACTTCTAGTTCAAGAACTATGAGAAAAAGGAAGCTGGATCCACAGTTGGACCTCTTCTGTGTTTGAGAGAAGAGCCAGCTGTGGGAAGCTGGAGTGTGGTAGATGGCAACTGCCCCCAGTCTGCCCAAGTCACCAACAGTCTTAGAGTCCAACAAGGCCCAAACAAAGGTAGGCTGAGTTCAGAGAAATACAGTTCTCAACAGCCTGGGCCCCAATTTTGGAAACTCAACAGAAGCTCCACAAAAAATCCTAAGCGTCCCCAAATTTCATAATGAAAGACTCTACGAGACCTTAATCGTTAATCAAGACCTAATTTGAAACACACTCCTGTGTGTACTGTTTGTGCCTCTCCCAACTGTCTGGAATCCCAAATGTCCCATACACCCAACCTTGCACAAAGGTACAAGAGGACAGAAGGCAGAATGAGGTTGTGTACTTTTTCTCCAAAGTGCAGAGGATCGACAGTGGGATAAAGAAAACTAAGAACCTATCTGCTTTGGCCTCCTGGGTGCTGGTAGTGCAGGCATGAGCCACCATACACAACATAAGGGCTGGGACCGCCTGGGCTCAGGGCATCTTCTTGCTTTAGCTACATGGACAGCTGGAGCTATAGGCACGCACTGCCAGCATGCATGGCTTAGTTTTCCTCTTTAAAGACTTTGCAGTTGTGTGTACTAGGTGATCTGGACAATGTCCTCGCCCCAACTGCCTGTCTCTCAAGGCCATGGCTGCTGCTTCTGCTGCAAGTGAAGCCTCAATGTCTGGGCACAGCTACAGGATGAGGAAACATTCCAAGTGTTCTCTTTATTAAAAAAAAAAGTCACCCTAACAGGCAGTATTTTGAACCTCCATCCCGTTACCCCCTCCCCACCTCGTTACCTCGGAGAGCTCCCCAGACTGTCACAGCGGTGAGTAAACACTGGTCATCATTTATGGTCAGGGTATCTGAAATGACAAAAATGACCCCATGTGGTTAGTTTTCTATTCTCAGACTGCAGACCAGGTATTCTACATAAACCCCTGAACTTAAAAAAAAAAAACATACAGGGCTAAGGAGACGGTATAGTAGGTAACGTGCCCATAAGCACAAAAAAACCTGAGTTCAGCTGAAGGGTGAGCATCACACTGGCTCTGCAGACCTGGAAGATAATGCATGAGGCTCAAGCCAGGCAGGGTTCTCTGTACAACATCACCCAGCTTGTGGGTCAGTTTCCCTGACAGAATCATGTGATCCTACGAGCTTTCAGCTGAAAAGTCTGAAGTCACCAATCAAGTAAAGGGAGTTCGGAGGCCTGCAGGGGGGAGTCCAGGCTGCAATACTGCCAGACTTTACAACCACCTTGCATTCCCATTGCTCCAGGCCTCAGCCCAAAGTATAAGGAGAAAGAGAAACTCACATGTTCATGTTGGGGACTGAAATCCCAAACCTGCTGCTTAGGGAAACTGGTCTCACTAAGCAGCACTGAGCTTTAGCTTTATTGCAGTATAAACGGCCCCAGACGTCTTTCCCAGTGTCAGGTATCCTAGAGAATATTAAGAAAGTGTGCATGTTTCTTTTCTTTTTTTTTTTTAAATTTATGTTTTATTTTATGTGTATGAGTGTTATGCCTACATGTAGGTCAGTGCACCCATGTTGTGCAATGCCCATGGAGGACAGAAGAGGCTGTCAGATCCCCTGGAACTGGAGTTACGAACAGTTGTTAGCTGCCATGTGGGTGCTGGGATTCAAACCCAGGTCTTCTGCAAGAACAGTCAGTGTTCTTAACCACTGAACCATCTCTCCAGCACATTTATAAAACAGTTTTCTGCTCAGTCCAGAAGGCAAATATCCCATAGAACTCAGTGAAAAGTCAGTATGATATTCACGGGCACTGGTCAGACAGAACTTCTACATGGAAAAAAATTGTCTTCTGTGGATCTTGACACTTGGTGACCCCTGGTCTCTACGGTCTAGGGGAACTCTAGGCTAAGCAACAGCAGCTTAGGCCAGGATGGCTGGAGTTCTAGCTCCAAACAAGTGTTGGCTTTCATGGCAGGAACAGGGTTGTACTTACAATTTTCCACTGACTCCAAAGAAGGAAACTCGTTACATTCTGCTGTCATCACAGTGATAACCAGCATGTTCTTCCCCTCTGTCTGCTGCTTCCCTGTGAAGAAATGGTAAGACAGTGGGCTGACTTGTCCCCAAAAGCAACAGGCAGACTCAAGGCCCTATGGGAATGTCCCTGGATCTAGCCTCTCTGTTTATACGTGGTGGTAAAAGGGTAAGGCAGATATACTATTTACTGGCCTTGGCCCTGCTTGGTCATGTTCATCCTTCATTTGGTTGTGCTCCCCTTCTCCCTGGTAGCCTGCTCTGACCCTGTATGAAAGAGGTGGCAGCTCTTCCTAACCAGGCCTCCCCATTTCCAGCTTTACCTGGGCTGTCCCAAGCACATGATTCCAAGATGTCAATAAAGGCTTCTCACTAAGAGGCCATTCTACACTCAACAGCCTGTGCATGAGCTGCCGATTGGCAAATTCTGCCAAGACTGGGTCACTAGATAGAAGCTCTGATGTAAATCAACAATGTCAGAATAATTACTAATATTTTTATACCCCACCCCACCCCCCGCTTTTCTTCTAACATTTTTTTCCATAATGAAATGTTTTGTCTTGAGACAGGATCTTGCTGTGTAGCCCTAGCTAGCATGGAGGCAAGCTATGTAGACCAGGCTGGCCTCAAACTTGTGGCAATCCTTCTGCCTCTGCCTCTTGGAGGCTATGATTAGAGGTGTGAAGCCACCATGCCTAAGGTTCATAACCAGACAGATCTTCTTTTTCTTTTCTTTTCTTTTCTTTTCTTTTCTTTTCTTTTCTTTTCTT